CCCCAAAACCCCAAAACCCCAAAACCCCAAGAATCACTTATTTGCTGAAATTAGCAGCAGAAAAAAATGAAATTTTAAAGGAGAAGAGCAAATGATTAATAATATTCCCTCAAATTCATTATGTTTTACTGATTTAACTTTTTTTAATTAACCGAATATTAAATATTTAATGTACAAGTAGAGAACACAAATTCAACCTAGAGTTAGGTCAGATGACTTCTCTTATATATCTATACTCTCATCATTAAGCGAAACTGATCAAGACAAAAACGTTTAACATAAGGCGTTTCCATTAAATGATTACACCCCTTAATAATTCATCTAAGATACTTCAGTCGAAATTGATATTTCGTGTATGCTTAATCATGTAAATAATAAAAAGTTTCTTATAGAGTCATACTTCGAAGTTAAAAAACAATACCAGAGATACAATGTTGGACTAATTTTATTACAACTAAATCATTAGAAAATTCAAGAATGCTATAAGGGGAAATTCTTGCTATAAATATGGAGAAACAAGGTAAAGGTGTTTCAAAAATCGCTTCAATGTAAGTATCATATGAATGTTTATCCAGAAATCATTAGTTGAGATAAAGTCTTGGAATATCGATCATCACTTTCCAATTTATATTGCTCAAATCAAATATCATCCAAATGAAGATGGTTCGGATAAAATAAGCTTATTCCAAATCTACAAAAATGATACTGTAGAGGAATTAAGGATACATGATTTCGCTCAATTTCCACAATGTAAGTATATCAAAATTCAAATAACTTTTTATCCATGAAATTCTGTCTGATATTTATTAATTCATTGAAAATAGTTGAAATTATGAGTTGCAGCAAAAATTACTGTATTTAGGCAAGCTAAAACATGTTAAGAGTTGTTGAATTACTATTTCAATATGAAGAATATGAAGAGGTGAAAACTATGGAAATTTAGCCTAAAGGTTTGAAATTTGAAGAGGAAATCGATTATGAAGAGGACAGAGATATGGCTTCACAACAGACGACAGATTCCTGCTCTAAGAATATCTTTAAAATGATTGGCTTTAAAAGAATTGTTTCAATTTTCTATGACTAGACTGACCACTTTAATCTTATCATTGAGTGTTCAGATAACACTTTGCTTATTGAGAAGATAGTAATAAGTGAAAAGAGGATTATATTGAAAAATAGCTATAATGATCGCCTTTATGACTTTTGCAACGATCCTGTGCGAGATATTTGCTTTGATTATGAATACAATACCATTTTATCAATCAAAAAGTCTGGTACCATTGAGATATTCAAAAATAGTGTGCTAATATACAACAGAAAAGATAGTAAGTTATTCGGATTTTCTAATTTCATATCAAATATAGTAATCTATGATGATATTTGGATATTTAACAAAACGATGTACTTTTTCTCAAAAAGGGAGCAATTACTTAACTATGTCAAATTCGTATCTTAGGATCAAATTTCAGATTTAAATACCTAAAAAATAAATTCAAAGGATTGGCAGAGCATTAAATAGAAGTATATATGCGATTTACAATTTGCCTACTTGCATGACTTAGTTTATGTAGCCCGTCTGAATTGTCTTAAAATTATTGATATTAATACCAATCGAGTGATTCATGAGGATTTTTTTGAATGTGAGTTGCAAAAAATTATCCAAGTCAATGGTAAGATATATGTGATCAAGAATAGAGATAACAAAATCTTGAGCATGATCCTTCATCAAAGTTTTAAAGTGATCGATCTTCATGAAGTTGAGGGTCCATATAAGTAGCTCTTCTTTAATGGAATAGCACTTTATATCATAACACATTGTGATATAGATAATAGATTTTATAGAATTTAGGATGATTAAGTCTAGGAATATCGTGATCATTATGAATGTAATAATTTTGATTCTTTATTAACTTGTAGTTGACGATGTGCTAGTGAATTATACCTGTAGAAAAACTATTCATGATAAAGTGATTTTGTTCAACTAAAAGCTCTCCTAATTAAAGACATTGTATTTTTAAAAAAATGAGATAAGGAAAATAATAGTAAATAATCTTGACTCAAAAACAGGAAATTTCAAATCTGATTAATGGTTTGCTTTTGAAAATAAATCCAAGACCCTTCTATATTTTTAAAAATATGACAATCATATAGGCTAAATGAGAACATATGAAATAGATAAATACACCAGTCAGATTAGAACACTATCCACTCTCCCTTGGTTAAATGAGCCAGTAGTTTGTGGGGAACTCATTTATGAAATTAACTTTACCGGTTTACTAACGTATAGAATAATTGATCATTACACACAATAAAATTCTCTAAAATTTGAAATTTAAGAGCATATTTTTAGTAATAAATTAGTAAGTGTTGGTAACCGCATAGGAATTTAAGAAAAACTACATAAAATAAGAATATTTAATCAACCTAGTTAAAATTGCTTCCTGCCGAAGTTATTTGAATCAGATAAGTACAAGTGCCTTGCTTGGAAGAGAATAAATAATTAGTTAGTGATTCTTGATTGCAATTTTTAGCTCATTACATTAAACGAAATAACAGGCAAGTTTATCTAAGGATATAGAATCTCAAAAAAGATTTTATCACATGAAAGTATTTAGGCCGATCAAATCAGAGATGAATTTTAAACCTATAGAGTAATAATGCAGGATAGCTCATACAAAGGTGAATTCTTACCACTTGATAAATGCTCAGGATTAAAACTTTTTAAGCTCGTAGAAATAATAAATAACTGCAAAATTCAAATACTTTTGAATTTTATGCTCACTGAATTCAAGTAATCATTTAAATTCAGCAAAGATTTAAGACTTATGATAGATTTAGCTACTTACGAGCTGTATTAGAGAGTAGAATATGCATTTGATAACAACATTTTCGTCTGGTAGTAGCTTACTTACATAAATAACGAATCAAATAATTGGAAATACAACCTTAACAATTCGATTGTTAGTCCAGATCTATTATACTACATAGACTTTGAAGTTAAGAACAAAAAATACCAAATAAAGAAGACTGTTGATAGCACGGTATATAAGGAGATAACTATATAGTTAACAGATTAATCCAACCTAAATTAGTTTATATACTTGAGATGGGTTGATAACAGATAAATAGCTCTCTTGCATGATGAAGGGATAGAAAAGACTATTGACATTATCAATAACTTTTAAGAAACAAATTTTAGAGTACTAAATAAGGATGCATAGTATGGAACGAACAAAAATATAGATAATGGATTTTATATAAACATTAAACCCTTTCACTTAGATGATGTAGAGAAAAAATTACTAAGTAATTAAAATCAATTCCTGCTGAGATAGTAAAATTAACTTAAAGGTGAAGAGTTGGGTAGATTATTTTAGGAAGCTATGATAGAATTTCAATATTCTTGGTGTGATCATTATATGAAATATTTGCCAATGATTGAATTCAGTTTTACTCACTACCACTGGATGCTAGCTTTGAAAATAATCAATGATCATTAGCATAAAATCATTAAGCAAATAAGTTTAGAGGACCTAAAAATGCTGTTGCTCTAAGTATTTCCAGATGGCAATACATTCTTACATAAAATAGCAAATAGAAACGAAGTTTTAGAAGCTGTGTCACTCAGGATAAACAAAGATTTTCAATTCTTATTTATTAAAAATCCTGAGGGACTAACACCACTACATATGTGCTTAGGGACAAGAAACTATTTCGCCATAGACATATTTGTTAAACTATTGTCAAATCATAAGTTTTATCAGCATTCTTTCAATATAGTTGATATTCTCCCGAAGCTAATTACTACCGAGTTACCATCATTAAAGCAATATTTAACCTCAAGAGTAATTTAAACTCAGATACTTCACCAATATAAAAGAGCAGCAATCAAATTTCATTCTAGAAAACATTATGCTATAAACCTGACTAATCTTTGGACAGAAAAAGATCTTTTCCATAAATAGTACTTTGAAACTGGAAAGCTGGAAACAGACGTAAAGATAATGCTCATTGATCTCCCAAAACTAAACATTCATGCTGATTAAACAAGCTAAGAGTTATTCCTAGCTTTATCGAAATGTCAAGAACTTGATATATTTGAGGTGCCAACAGTCCAATATCTTATTGATTTTTAGTGGATGCTTACTAAATAAAGCACTCTTTACTACCTCTATCTCCCCTCTATACTGAATCATATTGTTTTTTTTATTTACTCAAACTTCATCATAAATGATGATAAGTACTCTAACGATTTCTAAACAGAGGTTATATTTCTATCTGTTATCATGACTTTCTAAGGCTATTTCTTTATAAATGAAGTAAGATAGATGTCATTCACCAAATTGAATTACTTTAAGTCAATAAAAAATCTCTTAGATATGCTCTAAGTTCTAACCACATCGGCAACTGTAATGAGTCACTACAAATATAATACTACTGAACAGTATGCAAGTTTGGAGTTTTTACCGGTAATGCACAGCTGCTCTTCTTTGCTTTTGTGGATTAATTTCCTATATTTTTTAAGGCTATTTGACTCAACGAGTTATTTGATAAGAATTTTGATAAATGTTTTTTGGGACATGAAATGGTTCCTCATACTTCTGCTTATCTGCTAAATCGGTTTCGCTGAGGCATTCTTAAGGCTATCGGAATATAGTCAAGAGGATGGACAATTCTTATCTAATATTGTTCATGCATTTATTTATGCTTTCAGAATGAGTATTGTTGATAATGATACATCTGCATATGATAAAAATGTATCTTAAACTACAATATGGATATTGTTTATTGTAGCTGGGATTATTATGCCAATAGTAATGTTGAATCTTCTGATTTCTATAATCTCAAAATCTTTTGATGATATCAACAAGCAATCTAAGCTTGCAGCATATCAAGAAAAAGCCAAGATCATTTTTGAGAATGCTTTTGTAATTCCCACATCTGCGAATAAAAAAGAGGATGCCTAGAAATTCATTACAATTTTTAAAAAGATATCATCAGGTTCAAATTCTTAGGACTAAAAAAAGCTTTAAAAACAGGAGATCCTAGGCACAATGAAGCTTATAATGATAGAAAATTCAATGATGAGGGAGGAAATCTCCAGAAATAAAGAATAGCTAAAAGGTGTCAATTCTTAGCTAAATAAATTAGAGGATATTAATTAGAGATAGAACTTGAGAATAGAGCGTATGCAGATGGATATGGATTCACAGTTTGGAAAATAAAGCAAATCTTTAGAAAGTATTATAACTATTTTGACAGACCCTAAGTAAATGCATTATTGATGGCGTTTTAAATAACTAATAAATATAGTAATTTATTTTTATATCAAATAAACTCTTTACAACAATTGATGATTTTTTCAAGAAGGGGTTTTGGGGTTTTGGGGTTTTGGGG